TTGCTAGAGCTAGATAACTTGCTGACAGCTCTTGCAGACAAAGCTTTTGTAATATCTTGTAATAATCACAATGCTCTTATGCGGATTCGAAATAAGATCTACTTAATTTATAAATTCGTTTTATCATGCTTTTCATATTTTCCGCATTTATTTGGTTACTTGTCGTTGGCTCTCGCAGAGATCCGAGACCTCTGGAAAATTAGGGTTTTCCTAAGTTTCCTTATTTTACTGAAAATCGACAGTGCGAATTTATGTTCCCACAGTTTTGCGCTAGAAAGAGGGGGGATACGGATTACTCTAACTCATAGCCGCAAAATGCTTGATCACAACGATGTCTAGAAATATGGAAGACAAAGTCACAGTTCGCAAAAACGATCGTAAAACAACTCCAGCGGCGACTACTCCTATAGCCAACACTCACGCAAACGCTGTAGTACTTAACGAAATTAAAAAACCTAATCGCAATTTTCGCCACGGGAGGAAAAAAAAAAACAAGCTCGCAATTTCTCTCTAAACACAAAGGGAAACGATAAAGTATATCAAACGCCGTAATGTTTTTCTTATTTCCGAGTTGGACAAATTTCATTACGTATGGGTTGACCAAAAGACGTGTTCTGAGAACTTTTTGGAAAAATAAAACTTTCTCTCCTAGAAACTGCGTAAAAATCCTAGGTTACTTGAAACTTTAGTAGCTTAGGATCCACGCCCTCGAGGCACTGACCACCTTGGCGAGTTGGTCGGCCTTATTCCTTGCCCTCGAGGTACTGACTTTTCCCCAAGGGTCATTACCATCCAGCTCACCAAGACGGCGAGCTGACCGTACCAACCCAGCTCGCCAGCTTGTGAATCAAAAACAAAGCAAAAAGCTTTCTCAAAAATCTGCAGAAACATTGTTATCTCCATGCATCGTGTCAATTTACTAAATTCATCACCCTTACTTGCAAAAAATCATTTGTATAATCAGGATCATACGAAGTAACTTTTGAAAGTAAACGTAACACATTTTACGAAAAAGTACTTTCCTTATTACAAAAACCAAGCTATACGATCCGACATTGGACGACCAATCTAAACTTTTTTTCCTCGCACCACAATCCGAAAGATCTCATTCTTTATCCCTGCGTCTCACGAGCATCTGCTCTCATTCCCCTCGATTACATCCAAGCACTCGATTACATCCAAGCATGAAATCACCCCGCAACTGACTCCGCACGGGCTCTGCATCGAGCTTCTTAGGCTTTGTCTCCCTCAGATAAAAAGGAAAAAACTTCCATACGAATAAAGGAAAGACTATACGAAACTTTCATCGAATAAATCAAACCTAAAACGAAAAAATGTTCTCTACGACCATGGACATACTTGGCATATCAATCTTGACAAACGCTACTTGGCCCTTGTCCAATCACGCTTCACTTTGATGCCGAGCTAGGTTACAGAATCACCTTTAAGGACGATCCAAACCGACTCGACCTTATCGATAGCACGATAGTGTCATGGTCTAATCCTTTACCAACTACGTCTTTGGCTATGCAGCTGAATACAACTTTCACTCCAAGCCAAAAACATTCAACGGATAATCTAAACTTGTTGAAAATCGACTTAAGATCTATATACGCGACCACCCCTCGGTCCTAATTGCTCTAGCATAAATCAAACTACTTAACATCCAAACATGAACATAGGTTTTGGCTGCGAATGTCCGCAAACAAACCAAAGTGTTCATGCAAAGCAAGGTTAAGACAAACCCCTTGTAACACCGCGTATCATCTTCAAGCCCGCGAACGTGTCGAACACAACGAGACATATGAAAGAAAAACCAATCTCCGGCATTGGGAGACGTCGCAGACGCCTGAAGAATAGTTTTTCGACAAAAATACCTTCCTCGATAAAATCACTTTCTTGGAAGACCCAACAGCCCATCCGCGACTATAAAACATACAAAACTTCTTAAGATATGTATCCTTCGTGAAGTTCCAAGAAACGGTAACATCTACCACCTAAGTTTGTTGCTGATCACAACAAACTCGCAACAGTCCTAAACAAACTTAAGCTATCTCACAGAGATAGCTCTCATACACCCGACACAAGGGTAATAGCACTATAAAGAAATCCAAATTTTGGTCAACACCTTCGAGGATGCTCGATTCCAACCAGACAAGTCTTATAAGCCGAGAACCTATTGCAGACTTTAAATCGGTATGGAATCTTGTTAAAATCGCAACAGGCAAAAAAAACGCCGATTAGTCATCGCAAAGCCTTAAAACCGAAAGTAAACCTAGGTCTTACCCTAAACCCAGCACATTGGTCTCTAATGTCTCAAGGCATGAAATGAGATCCTAAAGGCATGTCTCTTCGTCCATATCTAAACGCTCACGAGATTTTAAACATCCTAAAACGAGCAAACAAAAAGAGCGATCTTAAAAAAAGAGTTCGACTATGAGATGACAACTCATATTTTTCCCTCCACATTTATACGAATACAAACTTGCTCTTAAAACTCAAAACACAATTTAAAAACGGCCGCAAAGCGGAATGGACTCGAAGCTACATACGGCCAGCCCAAAAATATAATGGCCACACTTGTTCAAAGCAAACAACCTACAAGGCAAGTCTCGAGGCTGATACAAAACACCATCGACATCGCCATGTTCGATAATCTGTATGCATAACTAGACTGTAAAGGTCTCACTGGAAAATAAGTCGTACGAACCTAAACTCTAAGACGAACTACGAAAGGCTTGATCCCTTCAATAGGGTACATAGGCAGCCTTCACTATGTGCAGTCCCAATCCTACCGCTTTCCATTCCAATGAGAGTGGGAAGATCAGTTTCAACGGAACTTTTCAACCATACATTCCGCCTAACTTGCCTAAAATTGTATAACCACTTGCTAGAAACTCACGCTAGAAGCTCAAGGTTCTAACAAGCTGGGGGGCTAACTGTTTGGGTCAAAATCAGTCACGACGGAATCAATGGCTAAAAGTCCCGAAAAAATCATACAAGAGAACTGTAGACTTTCTACGGAGATACGAATTTACGAAAAACTCGTAGGTAAGTATGAAATAATTAAAAAGACCTCATGCTGGGGTAAAAAAAAAAGTAATCTCGAAATGAACATCTACAATTACTTCGCCTTATGTTTTCCGAAAGGATCCCGGGTCGAGAAAACAAGAAACGACTGTCAAGCTCACTAAGAAGGCGAGCTGGCCGTACCAACCCAGCTCGCCGGTTCGGCGAGCTGGATGTACCGACCCAGATTGCCGGCTAGGCAAGCTGGACAAGATCATCCAGCTCGCCAAGACGGCGAGCTGGCCGTACCGACCCAGCTCGCCGGCTTGGCGAGCTGGCTAAGACCGTTCCGCTCGTCAAGACGGCGAGTTGGTTATCCCATCCGCTCCATTTCCCGTTAGTCGGCCAAACAAGAGGTATATGCCCTTCGACTCCATCATATTCTGAACCGTGATCAGAACATCTCTCGTTTCGTCTCGATCCATATTCTCATTGCAACTTTACGATGAAAACCGCTAAAGACTTGTTTTCTCGTAAAAACTCGAGTAAATCGTATAAAACGACAACGGTTAAACGAAACACCGGAGGTTACCAAACTATACGATTGAATCGAGATGATTTATAAAAACGGCATTGTATCATGGAACGATCCCGTCTGGAATTGTAAAACGGCTAAGACGCAAAACGGCCCGAAAGGTCCTTAAACGCGATTATGGCCCACTTACGATTTTATACGAAATCCAGTCCAAGGATATGATGACGGTTTATCCATTGTTTGCAGGATGAGATAAATGTCAAGTTTGGAGATAAATAGAAGTTTTCCAAGGATAAATATGGAGATCGAGATAAAAGGAAGATTTCCCATAGACATGAATCAAGGCGAAAAATGAAAGACTAAACCGCCTAAAAGAAGAGTATATAAGGAGAGGGTCGAAGGCAAGAAGAAGGGAGATAAATTTTACAACCTTTCTAGACTTAGAACTCTCTGCACTTAGAAACTTTAGACTTTATTCTCGACAAGTTCGGTTTCTATGACTGGCACTCAATTACTAGAAGAACTTTCCCAGGCAGTTTGATCTCTTGATCAGCTCTATCAGTTGAACTACGTTCGGCTTAATCCTCGAAAGACGTACGTAGGCAGCCTTTCATAAGGTTCAGTCCGAAATCAATCAAAACTCTTTTTTGTATCTTTTTCGCCTTTTGTTATCGAGATGCGTCTCAACTAGGTTTAAGGTTTTAGGTTGCTAGAACTAGATAACTTGCTGACAGCTCTTGCGGCCAAATTTTTCGTAATATCTTGTAATAATCGCAACGCTCATATGCAGATTCGAAATAAGATCTATTTTCTTTATAAATTCGTTTTATCATACTTTTCATATTTTCCGCATTTATTTGGTTACTTGTCGTTGGCTCTCGCAGAGATCCGAGACCTCTCGAAAATTAGGGTTTTCTAAGTTTTTTTATTTTACGGAAAATTTACAGTGCGAATTTCGGTTCCACACTGAAATTAAGAACATGTAAGCAAGAAAGACGCAATATATAAAAGATTATATCAAACGTTTATTGTACCATATAACATTGATGTAGATAAATATTTGGAGTACTTCCAAAGATTTATTATTTATTTTTTTAAGTATTTTACTAATTATCTTTATTGTTTTATGGTTTTTATATATATAGGCTTTTTATACCTAGAGTTGTATTCAGTTTTTGATGATTAAGAAAATTAAGAGATTTCTCTTTTGTTCCTTTTTTCGGTAGATCATTGGTGATCTCAACGAATTTAAGAAGACATTGATCATAGGCATTCTTAGACTAAATAAGATTCTTGTGATTATCATTAGTTTTCCGAGTATTCTCAGAATCAATGAATCACTAATCATATCCCTAAAAGCTTCCGCTACATCAAACATAAAATTGATTGAGAGATGAAATCAATATTTGCATCAACATGAAAACTACAATCTACATACTAAAAGGGAAACAGAAATTTATTGAACCGAAACTAGTTTGGATACCGAGCGTTTCATCATAAGCATAATCTTCAACCTCACTAGACTATTCAGAATCTTCTTAGACTTTGGAGGATTTGATGGAAATATCTTCTCTTTCAGGGGCTTCTTTGTAATATCCGTAGATTTGTTGATTCTCAACGACAACGAATCTCTCTTCTTTCCAGCGGCGACAACAGAAATAACCTTCTCACCCTCCTCTTGTGGATGAAGAAAACGATGTAACAACAACTCAGATGCGCTCCCTCTCTCCTCAGGGTTCCTTGCGAAACATGTTTCTATAAACACTCTTGCATCGCAAGCCACACTCTCGGAAATCTCCGGAGCGTTACCATCGAACAGAAGAGCCTCTAGAAGATCGATATCAAGACATGCCCATGGCATCTCACATGTATACATCTCCAGCACTAAGAACCCCAACGACCAAAGGTCTAGGGTTTCCTTGGCGACCCCCGTGCTCAACAGACTCGGGGGACATGTAACTAGCCGTGCCTACAAAAGGAGAATCGATGTCCCAGTAATCAGGAATATCTCCGACATCTAAGGAGACTCCAAAATCACAAATCTTCAACTCGTATGAATCATCTCCACCGCAAGGGAATACAAGGAGATTGTCGGATTTGAAATCGCACTGAACGTAACCGTGGCCGTGGATGGAGACCAAACCCTCAAGAATCATACGCGTGAAGTCTTTGATTAGTGGTTCAGGTAGTTTCTTGTTGTCCATGAAAGCACGTAGACTCCCTTCGGGTGCGTACTCGAGAAGCAACTTGTAGACTTTGAGATTGTTGTAGCCTACACCTTCATCCAAACAATTTCCCAATTATTTAACCATTCTAGGGCATTCCCTCAATTTGCAAAGAATTTTTAACTCTCTCTTGAGGGAGTCGTAGTTCATGGGGTAAGAGACTTTGACTGCGGCATGATAGATAGAGCTGTCGCTTAGAGTGTATTTAATTTCATCTTTAATATATAATTCGCTGACTCTAGGGTTACGAAGCTGAGTTACTGTTAAGGTAGATGGGCTTCCAACCTAAAACCAATTGGTGATAAGTGGAGTGGTCCATCTATCTTATATACTAGATAGAATCCCTTCCAACTTCCGATGTGGGACTTTGTCCCTAATAAGCCCCCTCGATATGATGGCTCTTTGTCGTCAATCTCGAAATGTTCGGGCAAAGATCAATGGGCCAACTTTGGGCTAGATCGATAAGGATCGGGTTGGACTTGCGTGGATCATGGGCTCTGATACCATGTTAAAATCGGGTTATTATGGTATCAGAGCCCAAATCTTAAAAAAAAAAGCCCTAAAATCCTAATTAATTAATTAACCTTTCCGACCCGGTATATATAGGTCGTGTTTAACCTTTCGACTAGGTATAATTGTCGTATTTGACTCGCTCGACCGAGTATAATTGTCTTATAGTTATGAGATTTCTGGCCAATAAGAGTCATCATCTCGAGGAGGGGTATTAGGGATATATATCCCACATCGGGAATTCAATGGGACCTTAAGTAATATATAAAGGGTTAGGGCCAATCCACTTATCACCAATTGGTTTTAAGTTGGAAACCCATAATAAACCCAAAATCTAACATGGTATCAGAGCATAAAATCCTTTGACCTAAATCTAAATACCGCCGCCGCCGTTGCACTTGTGCTACCGCCGCCGCCATTGACTGAGAGCCACCACCACTGTTCAAAGCCGCCGTCGCGCTCTATCTAACTACTACCCTCTACGAAGAATATAACGATGTCGGGAAAAATCACAGCTGCTGCTACACCGAATCCACCGAATCCTCAGCTTCGCCTCCACCCCTCTGATAATCCCGGTGCGTTGATCTCCTATATTGTGCTCAAAGAAGATAATTATCCAGAATGGGCGACATAGATGAGAAACTTACTTCAAGCAAAACAGAAGTTGGGTTTCATTGATGGAACTCTCGCGAAACCAACTTTGGAGCCCGATCTCAACCTCTGGCTTGCTGCGAACTCCATGATCATAGGTTGAATTAGAACGTCCATTGATTCAAAAATCCGCTCCACCGTTGCCTATGAATCTGTGGCAGCAACACTCTAGAAAAATCTCAGAGTTCGCTTCTCAGTTGATAATGGAGTTCGGAAACAAGTGCTGAAAGACGAGATAGCATCTTGCAAACAGAATGGTCAACCTGTTCTTGAGTACTATGGACGATTGACAAAGTTATTGGAAGAGTTGCAGAACTACAACACGACCAGAGTATGTATGTGTGAAGCTGCAGTTGATATCCAAAAGGAGCGGGAAGATGATCGCGTCCACAAGTTCCTATTCAGACTTGATCCTCCCTGTTTCAGTAACATACGATCTACTATTACTGGTGAAGATCCGTTGCCTCCTCTGAACCAAGTGTACACCCGGGTGATTAGAGAAGAGCAGAATCAGAACACTGCACAAGCTCGGGACACAAAAAAAACAGAGGGGATCGGTTTCTCTGTGAAAACAGAGTCGGCATTGCAAGTTGCTGCGGCCTCTGGACAACGTACTCGTGATCGGTCCAGTGTTTCATGCACCCACTGCCGTCGACAAGGACATGAAGTGTCAGAGTGCTTCCTCTTGCACGGATTCCCTGACTGGTATTCCGAACAGAATCCGTATGTAAACCGTGGAAACCGATCTCCAAATCAAGATAACAAACCGGTCCAACGTCGAGGTTGTGGAGTGCGAGGAACAGGACGTGGGCATGGCCGTGTCAACAGTGCACGTGCTGGATCTGAAAATGAGAATGGCAGTGATCAGATTGCACAGTTGATTCAGATCTTACAAGCTCAACGCCCAAACACATCTTCTGAAAAGTTATCGGGTAAAACCAATTTGACTGATGTGATCATTGATACAGGAGCCTCGCATCATATGACAGGAGACCTCTCTCTACTGATAAATGTTGTGGACATTGTATCTTCTCCTGTTAAGTTCCAAAACGGGAATGCATCTCGAGCTACAAAACGTGGCGTTTTGCCAGTAAGCTCGAATTATTTGCTTGACGATGTGTTATTTGTACCTGATTTTGATTGCACCTTGATATATGTGGCTAAGTTTCTGAAGCAAACCGGTTGTGTAGCCATCTTTAGTGATACTTTTTGCTTCTTGCAGGACTGTTTTTCGAGGACTTTGATTGGAGCGGGTGAAGAGCGTGAGGGAGTGTACTATTTTACTGGTGTTCTAGCTGCTTGTGCACACAAAGTTTCGAAGGTTGTCAAGTCGTCTGGAGCTCTGTGGCATCGTAGATTAGGGCATCCAGCTATCGGTGTTTTGCTTTCTTTACCAGAATGTGATCAATCCTCTAGTGATTTTGGAGAGATCAAGAGTTGTGATATTTGTTTTCGTGCTAAACAAACACGAGAAACTTTTTATGATAGTAATAATAAAGCTTTGGATTGTTTTTCTCTTGTTCATGCTGATGTTTGGGGCCCTTATCGAACCCCTTCGAGTTGTGGCGCAGTTTACTTTCTGACATTAGTAGATGATTATTCAAGATCAGTGTGGACGTATCTGATGGCTGCGAAATCTGAAGTATCTAACTTGATTCGCAAGTTTACCGCCATGTCTGAAAGACAATTTGGGATACCAGTTAAGTCTTTTCGAAGCGACAATGGCACAGAATTCATGTGTCTCACGTCTTTCTTCCAGGAACATGGTATTCTCCACCAGACTTCGTGTGTAGATACGCCCCAACAAAATGGCCGAGTAGAGAGGAAACATCGTCATATCCTCAACGTTGCTCGCGCTTTTCTATTTCAAAGTCACATGCCGATCAAATTTTGGGGAGAAATCATTCTTGCCGCTACCCATCTAATCAACCGAACTCCTTCCTCGGTTCTGAAAAGAAAAACACCATACGAGTTACTCTTTGGTTGTCGACCAAAATATGAGATGATCCGCACATTTGGTTGTTTGTGCTATGCTCACACTCGATCTCTTGATAAAGACAAATTTGGCACTCGCAGTAGAAGATGTGTCTTTGTGGGATACCCATATGGTAAAAAGGGATGGCGTTTATACGATCTAGAGAGTGAAAAAAATTTCATCAGACGCGATGTTCAGTTTCAAGAAGAAGTGTTTCCCTACATGGATATGGAACATAATATTCAACATACTTCAGCACTGGCTGGATATAACTGATAATGAGTGGGCTGCTTGTCCAATACTCGTCGTTCTCTGTCTGCGTACATTATTTATTTGGGAGACTCTCCTATTTCTTGGAAAAAAAAAAAGCAACACACGGTTTCCTGTTCCTCTGCTGAAGCAGAATATCGCGCCATGGCGTACACACTTCGTGAGATTAAATGGCTTAAAGCACTTTTGAAGACATTTGGTTTTAATCACTCTCATCCAGTTCCTCTACATTGCGACAGTCAAGCTGCTATACACATCGCTGCAAACCCAGTTTTTCATGAGCGAACTAAACATATAGAAGCTGATTGCCATCAGGTACGTGACGCGGTCCAGGATGGTATTATCGCTACCATACACATTTCCACCAAAGATCAAGTTGCTGACCTGTTTACTAAATCTCTCCCGAGACCTACTTTTGAAAAGCTTCTATCCAAGTTAGGTGTACGGAATTTCCTACTTCCTACTTGAGGGGGGTATAGGAAGTATACGATATATGTAAACGTGTCTTGTAGATACGATATTTAGAACTCCTTCCTTGTCGGAAAAGGAAACTCCATTGTATATATATTTGACCTCGTATTACATAAATACACAAGAGATTACACAAGAGGTTACGAAGCTGAGTTACAACCTTAGAAGAAACAGAATTACTCTAGAAAAGAATGAGCAAGAGAGAGAGAGAAACGAGAATTGTTCCAAGAGAGAAGAAAAAAAGAAATTGGTAATGCCAGAGAAAGAGATATGAAACCTTTATAGAGTTACGGTTCGCGTAGAGAGGAACTGAAAAAAAGAAAATTGCAGTAGAAAAGGATATTGGTAATACGAGTTATCGTTTCGAGTCGGTGAATTTTAAGATTTATGTCGATTTTTGACCGTTGTGTTCCATTGCTTCGATGAGTCTGTAACTTAGAAAAGGAAATTATCGCCAAAGAGAAAAAAAGGGAAACTTTTGATCCGAGTTATTTGTCCGTTGGTTTTTTAATATTTATTTTTTTCGCATTGCAATACTATCTCACTAGGTAATAACCCGCATTTTGCATGGAATGAAATTATTACTTTTATTACTTTTAAAATAAAATGATATTATGTTTGCTTAGCATGGATATTGGTTCAGTTTTATGTTGTTTTTTTAATGTCCTAAAATATAACTATCATTCTAAATCTATATATATTTTGGTTTATTTGGTTTAAACGTTTGATGTTTTTAATATTTTCGATGATAACTAAAAACTATTGTTATTTGTTTGGTTTCGTTTTATATAAATTCTAGACATTTTTATGTTGAACTAATAGTTTCCTACTATAATTTTTAAAGTCATGTAAAATCAAATAAAATCTAAATAATATTTTAAAAAAAAAAGAAAAAAAATATTAACACAAAAAAATTTCACTACAATTTGAGCGAAAATGAAAGAAAACATTAAAAAAAAAATCAACTTCAATAAGAATTAAAATTCTCACTTGTGGTGAATATTTAGTTATATAGTCGCTCATGTCAATGTTTACATGTATGTATATGTAAAAATATATAAATGTGATGATAAATATATGAATATACCGTTAATTAAGATTT